AACCCCCCCCCCTAGGCCGAAGTAACTGACCAATCCCTTACGCAATTTTGGGCGCCATTCTCTCAGCTAGTGGGCCGCGAGCCTATCAAGTGAGAGTATATACTCATTTTTAACCACTAAGTACGTTGTCCTCTGTCCTTGACAGTGATTTTCAATCCCGGGATAATGAACATCCATATCGTGTTACTTGTGTACTTTTTTTTCGTGATTCAAACCCAGTGGACGACTGGCGGCCATGTTTTTAATTATAAATATGTTCAATGTGATAGTTTTCGTCAATGGCGACGTCAGGTCTAGTATTATAGTGAATTCATGGTTACATACCAACTATACAAGCATAACAACTCGTTATCGTTCACATGGAAGTGGGGACGAATGGTCTGGGGGGGGGGGGAATTAGTGTATTCGGTTCGTCGATTGAGGGCGTCATCTCCATTTTTCAAGTTTTGACCAAGTTCGTAGCCCTACAATTCGCCACTATCTTCCAAGGCAATCCTTATTCAATTCGTTAACTCCCACTCACATATGTTATTTGGGATATGTTCATGTTTTTGCCATGTTTGAATTCCGATAAACAATAAGCGACTACTAGTATTAACTGAATGGTATAATAATCTACAATTTAATAAGCTTATTTACATAATAAATAACTTTGTTTACAAATAAATAGTTTGTTTGCATTGTCTTCTAAATTATGTCGTAACTATTGCTTTAATAGAATCTGCATTTTCTCTGTCCCACTGCCTCCGATGTCCATCTCTGCAAAGACACTTCTATTGCAACATTAGACGACCTTACAATCACCAACATTGTTACAGATCTTCTGTACAGCATGAAAGCATCGTTCTTTCTAACCCCGATGGTGTGCATCAATCTTCCCCTTATTATATGATAATTGATCACCCATCATTACACATACTTATACCTTGAAGCTTACACGTGGTCGCACCTGACATGTAACGCAACTGTGTTCAATCCTAATACATATCGCTGTATTCAAGCTGAGTGATTAGTCATGTTTTTCTTTCAGTGCTGGTGGTTTTTGATTGAGTAGACAAATCAGTGATGCAAATATGCTGTGTTCGTCTTTTCACCTCTATCTCCTACAACATCTCATTTCTATTTGCTTTCTCCATTCGACCTTTTTAAAAATTACTGAATAATTTTACTACTGAATTTAATACAAATGTTTTTTTGTTATTTTCACTGAAAACAAAAGTAAGCATTAAATGAGCTCGTGTTTACACTTTATGTTTACCTTTTTATTCAAATGTAAGTCCAATATTACAAAATCTTTCTTTGTTGGGCTCGTGAAATACAGAATCTCGTATATAATGATTCAATATTGCTATTACAAATATATTTTTTTAAATAAATACAGCTGCTTAATATGATTGAAACGCTTTTAAAGGGCAGTGGTCGTCGCGCCACGCATGCGCCAGATATGGGTGTCTTACTAATAAAGATTTTGTTTGTTGCGCACAACAAGTACAAACCGAGACGTTACCATGCTTTAATTTGGTATTTTTTTTGGTAATTGAAAAGTATCGAAGGAGTCGCCAGCGGTAATTAGTGCAAGTGGCGCCAAGGGCAAAACTCGTACTTGTGATTTCATTTGAAAATCACATCAGATTGTGGGAAAATCAAAGTTTATCACTACAAATGTCGCACATGCGCGGCGCGACGACTACCGCCCTTTAAAGCAAATTCTAACGCTAGACTTGAAGTTTATATATTGCACCGAGTTCATCTAATATCATTTGAAAAGCGTCATCGCTGTCAATGTTCGAGGGATATGAATATTGTAAACGTTTACTAACATTCAGCAGATTGTTTTGTAACTGTATGACGTAATCTTCGGGAATCTTCCGCAGTAGGTCGACGATATCTGGCTTTTCCAACAAAAATGTCTCGAGACCAAAATTAACTGTGAATTCACTGTAGTTGAGGAGTCTCTGGAAGGGGTATTTGACTCTCGCTTTCTCCGGTAGGAAGATGACAGGTATGCAATGTGCAGTAACGGAATCGTAGAATGACTTACGTGTTGGAGAGTCGCCGGGTGGTTGTAAGCAAAATACACTATGTCGCATCCATTCTACAGTGAACAACTCAGTACCTTGTTCCCATGCAGCGTTGTTCTGTCCACATTCGGGAGTTACGTACCAAACGCCGTCGTACTGTTCCTCTGTATTTACATATGTATTATACGACTTTGAAGTTCTAGTTAATTGGTCTTGTAATATTTTTCTAACTTCGTGACTTGCCCGACTACTAGCGGCCATTAAAACAAAAACATTTCTGTCATATTTTGCTCCTTTTGTGAAATCATTTCGATGTGCCTCCTCGCCTTCTATGAAGTGACCGTAGCTTGGATATGGAGCCACCAAGACATGTTGTCCATTTCTTTCGAAATAACTCCTATACGCTGTTTTGTATTCTTCTTCAATCCCAATAAACTGTATTCTATTTGCATATTTGTTCCCTTTAAGAATACCACACCTCTGGGACCAGTGCTCCCTCTCAATTTTCCCGAGAGCCATTGCGTGGGGCTCTCGCATCTCAAAAAACGGCCATTTTTCGGTTAGGTAGTGCCACAGTTCTTTGTGTAGGAGATCCAAGTCAAAGCTGGACTTTTGGAATGACCTACAGAAACATGCAAGTCCGGGATAAAAGGGAATGTAGAAGATGTCAGCGTGTTTCGGGTTCATCGTCCGGTATCTGCTATGTAGAATTTTGTGATGGAGTATCACCTCCAGAGAAAACTGATGAGTATTGCGATAACTGAACTGAGAATCTCTTCGTAGTAGTCTGGACCCCATCCCAAACATTTTCTCATCCAAGTGAAAACAGCCATCCACTTTTTTAACACAATCAGATAAATTGACGTTAAATTTTGGCGGCAAATCATAGACGTATACTTTATATGGACTGTTTCTCTCATGCTTCCCGTTCTTGTTCGTATTAAAGGTAACATTTGGGATATTTTGTTGAAGGGCGCCGTCAAGTTTTCTGTTGTTAATCAGTGGGATAAAGCCCGGTTGATTGAGCGTGGAAATACTGTCGTCGTCACCAATTCTGAAATAAATGTTGATATTCCATGAGTTAAAATAAATATATGTGTAATTACTGTAAAGACATAAACTATTTGCTGTTTTTTTATTTTCGATGAAATTGTTTGGGTCACACATAAAACTCATTGTTTAAAGGGCGATCATCATCCCCGCACCGTTTTCTTGTTTGGTTAAGACAAAATCAACGCAGTTATGCCTGTGATTTACAACACGAGCTAAATGAATACTGTTTTAGTCACATTATCCCTGTTGAAACCACCACAAGTTGATTGCTAAATTCTCGAATAGTGTATTGCATAACATTACACGACTTTAACGACGACTTTAACGTGTATAATACAATGTACAATCAATGAATAAATCTGCAAAACGTGACTCTCAATGAATTTTCTGTTTGATTATTCAAATGATAAACTATTAATACATGCAATCTGACATATAGTAGTAGTAATATGTAATGCATGTAACTTGGTATCTAGTTGCAGTAATATGTAATACATGTTATCTGATATATAGTAGTAGTAATAATATGTAATGCATGTAACTTGGTATCTAGTTGTAGTAATATGTAATACATGTTATCTGATATATAGTAGTAGTAATAATATGTAATGCATGTAACTTGGTATCTAGTTGTAGTAATATGTAATACATGTAATCTGATACATAGTAGTAGTAATATGTAATGCATGTAACTTGGGTTCTAGTTGAAGTAATATGTAATACATGTAATCTGATATATAGTAATAATATGTAATGCATGTAACTTGGTATCCAGTAGTAGTAATTTTTAATACACGCAATCTGATATCTAGTAGTAATTTGTGATACAGGCAATCTGATTCCTAGTAAAAGTATTACATATTGCATGTATTACAAATTGCTGCTACTGGATATCAGATCGCATGTATTACAAATTACTGCTACTAGATATAAGTTTGCATGTATTACAAATTACTGCTACTAGATATCAGATTGCATGTATTACATATTACTATTACTAGGTATCAGATTGCATGTATTACATATTACTATTACAACATATCAGACTACCTGTATTACAAATTACTGCCACTAGATATTAGATTGCATGTATTACAAATTACTATTACTAGGTATCAGATTGCCTGTATTACATATTACTATTACTACATATCAGATTGCCTGTATTACAAATTACTGCTACAAGATACTAGATTGCATGTATTACAAATTACTGCTACTAGATGTCATATTGCTTGTATTACAAATTACTGCTATTAGATGTCATATTGCTTGTTTTACAAATTACTGCTATTAAATGTCAGATTGCATGTATTACATATTACTATTACTGGATATATCAGATCACCTGTATTACAAATTACTGCTACTAGATATTAGATTGCATGTATTACAAATTACTGCTACTAGATATCAGATTGCATGTATTACAAATTACTGCTACTAGATATTAGATTGCAAGTATTACAAATTACTGCTACTAGATGTCATATTGCATGTATTACATATTACTATTATTTGATATCAGATTGCATGTATTACAAGTTACTGCTACTACATATCAGATTGCCTGTATAACAAATTACTGCTACTAGATATCAGATTGCATGTATTACATATTAATATTACTATATGTCAGATTGCCTGTTTTACAAATCACTGCTACTAGATGTCATATTGCATGTATTACATATTACTATTACTGGATATCAGATCACCTGTATTACAAATTACTGCTACTAGATATTAGATTGCATGTATTACAAATTACTGCTACTAGATATCAGATTGCATGTATTACAAATTACTGCTACTAGATATTAGATTGCATGTATTACAAATTACTGCTACTAGATATCAGATTGCATGTATTACATATTACTATTACTTGATATCAGATTGCCTGTATTACAAATTACTGCTACTGGATGTCATATTGCATGTATTACATATTATTATTACCTGATATCAAATTGCATGTATTACAAGTTACTGCTACTACATATCAGATTGCCTGTATAACAAATTACTGCTAC